GAGTCCCCAGATGGGCCCAGGTGCCCAACCCAGCTCATACTGGGGACCGGGAGGAATGTTGCGTCTTCCAGGGATCCCCTGGCTGTCCTGCGATGCTCCCATGCAGCCTGCCACAGGCTGGCACCCAGGGTGCTCAAAGCTCTCAAGGAGGACCTGGATCAGCCCACCAGGTGAGCCACCCAGACTTTCAGAAGTGCTTCCGGCTCTGGGAGAGGGAGCCCCGAAAAGGGGAGGAACAGGGAGAGCATAATCTTCAGTTACAGTCTCAAAACCAACTCACGCAGCAGTGGTGGCTGCTGGCCCCACCACCCTTCCTCCTGTACACCTGCCCAGCAGCTGTGACCAATCAGACTTCTTGTCCCCCACATCTGAATGGAGTGGACTTAGCCCAAGAAGCCAGGAGAATGGAGCTCGGCAGGGCTATGGGAACTGCCCTCAGCCCCACCTGGAGCCCTCCACCCACAGCTGACGTGAGAAGGTCACTCATAGCTGGCCCCTTCTCTGGAGCGTTGGCCAAGTGGGAGCCACCTTGGAGTGGCAAGACTGTGCACCGTGACCCTCTGTGTGCTGCAGGGAAACTTCCGCAGCTTCTGTGTCCCCTGCCCTCCCCCGCCGCCTCAGGAAGCCCTGGTGCCCGAATCCCCATCTTGGGCTGCAATTCCAAGATGCAATTCTAAGAGAGGTGGGTGGGTGTGGGATTAAAAAGTGGGTGGCCAAGTGGCGGTTTCTGAGCTCCAGCTCCTCTCCATCCCTGCACACAGGGATGCCCCTCCCTTGAACCTGGGAGCCCTGTCCTTGAGTTTGTCAGGAACTCCACACCCTGGCGGCCCTGCAGCTAGACCCCCTGGTCTGTTGGAAATGGTCTGTGAAGCAGCACTTTATGTACTGGGATTTGTTTTGTTTTAGTTAGAGGCAAAGTCTTGCTGTATGGCTCAGGCTGGAGTGCAGTGGCATGATCATGACTCACTGCAGCCTCAACTTCCAGGCTGAAGCAATCCCCCCGCCTCAGACTCCCGAGTAGCTGGGACCACAAGCACGCACCACCACCAAAACTATTTTTACAGTTTTTTTGTAGTCGGGCGCTTTGGCTCATGCCTGTAATCCCAGCACTTTGGGAGGCCGAGGCAGGTGGATCACCTGAGGTCAGGAGTTCAAGACCAGCCTGGCCAACATGGAGAAACCCCGTCTCTAATAAAAAATAGAAAAAAATAGCTGAGGGTAGTGGCACACACCTGTAATCCCAGCTACTCGGGTGGCTGAGGCACAAAAATCGCTTGAACCCAGGAGGTGGAGGTTGCAGTGAGCAGAGATTGCACCACCGCACTCCAGCCTGGGCAACAGAGCAAGACTCCATCTCAAAGAAAGACAAATTTTTTGTAGAGATGGAGGTCTCGCTATGTTGCGCAGGTTGATCTTGAACTCTGGCCTCAAGTGATCCTCCCACCTCAGGCTCCCAAAGCATCGGGATTACAGGAGTGAGCCTCTGTGCCCAGCCCTAAATCTTGTTTTTTGAATATCTTCTCTCTTTTTATTATTGGTAGCTAGAAGCAGCCAAGCAGCACCTTGAACCTTCTCTCCTTAGCTGGATCATCTTGTGCCCGGGTGCATTGTGTAGCTTCTGCTTCCTTTTTGGCTACAGGTGACACTGTTGCTAAACTTCCTGCCACTACATAACAATGGTCTCCTTTAACATTTAACATGGTCTTCCAGTAACATTTTCTTCACTTTCCTCTAAGTCCCCAATGTCAGCCTCTGCAAGAGCCTCCCAGCTCCCCAACACTGCCCTGTCCCAAAGCCAATGTCACATGATTTAGGTTTTGTATCAGCAGCACCCCACTTCCAGTACCAGATCCCATTCTGCTTATCTGTAGCTATGTAACAAACCACCTCACCTCAGAGTCATGGAGCTTGACTGGGCTCAGGGAGGGGATTCTCAGTTTTGGTACCTCCTGTGGTTACAGTTCAATGGTCACCGGGTCCAGAGCCATCTGAAAGGCTTTCTCACTCACTCATAGGTGCCCCATGCTGGGCGTGGATGGGTCCTACAGCTGGCACTGCTGGCTGGAACACTCCTGTCCTCTCCCAAAGCCGCCTGTGCCCCTCACAGCATGGTGACTGGGTGCAAAGAGCAGCATCCCAAGATGTGTGTGAGAGAGAAGGAGCTGAGTCATCGATCTGCAGATCTGATCTATGTGACTCTTCATATGACTTGGCCTCAGAAATCACACAGTGTCAGTTCTGCTGCATTCTATGGATTAGAAGCAAGTCATTAAGGTTAGCCCATGTTCAGGAAGGAATCCAATTAAACTCCCAAAGGGAGGAATGTCAAAGAACCTGCTGGCATGTTTCAGAAGTGCCACAGTGGCCAGGCAGGGTGGCTCAACCTGTAACCCCAGAGCTTTGGGAGGCTGAGGCAGGTGGATTGCTTGAAGTCAGGAGTTCTAGACCAGCCTGGGCAACATATTGAAACCCTATCTATAATTTTTTTTTTAATTAGCCAGGTGTGGTGGCATGTGCCTGTGTTCCCAGCTACTCAGGAGGCTGAGGTAGGAGAATCTCTTGAGCCCAGGTGTTCGAGGCTGCAGTGAGCCATGGTTACCCACTGCACTCCAGCCTGGGTGAAAGAGCAAGACCCTGTTTCAAAAGTAAAACAAAAGGGGGGAGGAGGGGGGCAGGCCAGGCAGACACAGTGGCTCACACCTGTAATCCTAACACTTTGGGAAGCTGAGGCAGGCAAATTGCTTGAGCCTGGGAGTTTGAGATCAGCAATATGGCAAAACCCCATCTCTACAAAAAAATAGAAACATTAGCTGAACATGGTGGCACATCTGTAGTCCCAGCTACTTGGGAGGCTGAGGCAGGAGGATCACTTGAGCCCAGGAGGCCAAGACTGCAGTGAGCCGTGATCGCACCACTGCACTCCAGCCTGGGTGACAGAGCAAGACTCTGTCTCAAAAAAATAATACAAAATAGAAAGTAACTTTTTGAAAAAGTGCCACAGTGAGCCATTTACCAAGGTAGACTGGTGAAGAGGCAGGGCACACACAGAGGCAGATAGGTGGAAGAGAATGAACACTGGAGGTGGACAGGTGGGCAGTGTCTCATTTATAAAGGTGGGGAACACAGGGCAAGAAAGGGATTTTGAGAAGACCTTGGGTTCCTTTCTGGCGCAGTGACTGGGAGACCTTTATTGGTGGTGGAGATGGAGATGTGGAGCAGGCTCCCTAAACATGAGCCTGGAGGAGAGAGAGAGGCCAGGCTGGAGGTGCACTTGTGAGTCACTGTCACAAAGATGGGCCGGAGGAGGCCTTGAGGGTGAGAATTGGAAGAGATGGAGGGATGGCCGGGGCTCGGAGGAAGAGGGCTCAGCCAATGTTAGGGTGGCCCTCCTGACTGATGACCCTGCCTCCTCCATGGTAGCAGAACTCTGATTTTGGAGGATGATCCAGATGCAGTTCTGTGAGGGAGGTTTGCTGGGGGAGGAGGGACCCATGGCTGTCCAAAGGAACATGGAGGAGATGAAATGTGTGGAGCTGTGGCAGCCATTCTACCACCAGGATGTTGGGGGTGGGGTGGGGATGGGGGTTGACAGAGCCATTCCCGGAGGTGGTGGCTCCATCACTGAGCTTTGGGACTAACAACCCCCGATAACCCTATGTGGGAGCTCTTGTGACAGAAACTAAATCGGCAAGTTCTGTCACGTGATGTCCACAGCACTTTCACTGATGGAGAGTGGGAATGGCAAAGTCTTGCAGAGGGGCTGGTGGCGGGAGGAGCGCAGGAATGCATGTCGCCCTGCCGGGCGGCCAGGTTCTAACCGTGTCACACCTAACCACTGAGCCTGCGGAGCGCCTCCAGTTCAGTTCACTACAGTTCAGATTGGGAAAGACAAGCCCAGAGGCTGAAGGCCCCTGTGGAGGTCACAAGGCCAGAAAGTGACAACTGGGTACGAGCCGGTCCGTCTGTTTCTCAGTGCCATGAGTCCCATACTGTATTTTCGGAGGGCAAGAGGAGAGGGTCTTAAGCTGAAGTGACCGTCCGGCTGTCCGGAGCCGCTTCACTGAGGGTGCAATAATGTAGCCAAGTGCGGGTCACCAGCGCTGTGGCAGAAGAGACCGAGGACGGTGTGATCAGAGTAGGACTTGCCTGGGCAGAGAGCGAGAAGGGAGCCTGAGACAGCTCCTGGGGGGCAGTGACAGTGCAGGGAAGGGCGGGGTGCAGTGCTGGATGTTTTCACCGGGATTCTGGGACCCGTGGGAAAGCCGGAAGACGGGCGGCTCCGGAGCACCGAGGAGGGGCCTCCGAAGGGGCCAGGGAGGTCTCATTGACTCAGGTGAAGAGACCTAGAACTGGGGGCTCCCAGCAGCCCAGGCTTCCCGCCGCGCTCCCACGCCCTCCAGGCCCATGAGACCCTGGCTCCGAGGTGGCTGGCCGGTTCCGGACGCGGGCGGGTTCCGGCCCGCGAGCGCGGCGGGAACGCGGGTTTGCAAGTGGTGTTGGGCACCACGGAGGCTGCGGTCCAGGAGTTTCGGGTGCGAGGCTAGGCTGGGCTTCTCCAGGCGTGCTGAGCCGCCACGGTAGGACCCCAGAGTGGACGAAGAACCAGGCCCGGCCGAACGCGGGGGAGCCATCAGAGGCTGGGCCAGGAGGCACCACCGCGCTCTGCGCAGCTGCCAGGGTCGGGGTGCCCTCTGGGCTACTGCCATGTCCCGCAGGCGGCGGGGAGACGGCCCTCCGCCTTTTCCTGCAAGTCACCCTGCCCGCGTGAGCGGCGAGTCCGGGTGGGACAGGAGGACGCAGGCGGGGGCACAGGGCGCCCTCCCCGCAGCTCTCCTGGCCCCCGCGCGCGGAGGCAGAGCCGCCGCAGTCGGGGATTAGCGCGCTCGCGGCCGGCGCTGCGGGATTAACCCGCGTGGACTGGGCGCCCGGCCCGGGGATTACTGCGCGCTCCCCTCGACGTATATATTCCCGCAGCGGCGGCGGCGGCAGCCGGGCCGGGCATGGCGGCAGCTGGGGGCGCGGCGAGCCGCAGGGACCCCGGGCGGCCCTGCCTCTTCTCCATTGAGCACATCCTCTCCAGCCTGCCCGAGCGGAGCCCCCCAGCCCCGGCCGCTTGTCCGCAGCAGCCCGCCGGTCGCCAGAGCCCCGCGGAGCCGGAGGAGCACGGGGTGCCCGATACTGCGCCCTGCGCCTGCTGCTGCTGCTGCGGCGCCCGCGCGGCGCCCTGCGGGCCCCCGGAGGCAGCCGCCGGGCTGGGTGAGTGAGTGAGTGGGCGAGGGGAGGGGCGCGGGCCCAGCTGGGGACGCCTGGGCGCGGCGCGGTGGGTGTCGAGCTTGGCCCCCGCCCCGCGCCTCACCGCGCCCTCGCCCCCGCCCTGCAGGCACGCGGCTGGCGTGGCCGCTGAGGCTGGGTCCCGCGGTGCCCTTGTCTCTGGGCGTGCCAGCCGGAGGTTCCGGGGCGCTGCCGGGCGCGGTCGGCCCGAGCCCTCAGAGGCGCACGCGGCGCCACCGCACCATCTTCAGCGAGGAGCAGCTGCAGGCGCTCGAGGCGCTCTTCGTGCAGAACCAGTATCCCGACGTGGGCACGCGCGAGCGCCTGGCCGGCCGCATCCGCCTTCGCGAGGAGCGCGTGGAGGTGGGTACCCCGCCCAGCCTGTGCTCAGCGCGCGGGCCGCGGCTGCACTGCACTGGGGTCCCGGGGGTCCTGGCAGGCGGGCGCCCTTGCAAAGACCGCCTCGGCCCAAGCACCGCCCTACGCGTCAGAGGAGGAGACTCGCGCACGACGCTGGGCGTCCGCGGGGACGAGGAGCGGGTGAAGGCGGGCGGGTGGCGCTTGCACCGGACGGGAGGGCTACTTTTCTTTTGTTTTACCCTTTCCCCGCCTTTTTCCTGATGACGAAAGGGGCGCCCATTGACGTCCGTTATTTGGGAAATTCGGAAGACCCCAGAACCCAAGAAAGGGCGTCCTGGTCGCCGCCCGGCGGAGTCTGGGGCGGGTACGAAGGGGGTTCCCATTGCCACGTCCAAGCCCACCGAGTCTGTACGAAGCGGATAGGAGCAGGCGGCGCACAGGCGGCCGCCCGCACCCCTGTCGCGTCGCGAAGCTCCCCTCCCGGGCCCTGTGGGACCCTGGGGAGCCGGTGGGACGTGGGACCTGGGGCTGGGACTGAGCGTTACACCCTCCCCCCACCACCAGGTCTGGTTCAAGAACCGCCGGGCCAAATGGCGACACCAGAAGCGCGCATCGGCTTCCGCGAGGCTCCTGCCTGGCGTCAAGAAGTCCCCCAAGGGGAGCTGCTGATGACTCTGGGAGCTGCCTCTGGGCTCGGCCACCCTCTTTGGGATCTTTGGAGCTGGCGCTGAGAGGACAGATGTACCCGAAAAGGAGCTGGGAGAAGACACTCGCCTCCTCCGCCCGTCTCCACAGCTCCTTGCCTCCTGCAGCTTGTTCTGCCGTGGCGTTGCGGACAGGGTCCCCGGTGCTTGGTGTTCCAAGGCAGTGGGAGTGACGAGTCCCTTGGGGGTGGCCTGGAGCATAGAGCAGCTTCCTCACCCCCCACCACCCTAAGAGGCACTAACTCCCAGCCAGGCGGGGAACCACTCTGTATCAACCCGGGACCCAGAGTCCTCCGCTGTGGAGCCTCTCTGCGCACCCTGGGGCATGCTGGCCTCCCTCTTCTCAGTGTGGACATTGACCCAACTTGACCTGGCCCGCCCTCCCCAAGCGGGAAGTGGGGTGGGGTTCGTGTCTGCGCAGTCCTGGGGTTGCAGGCTTCCCAGGCACTGGGCTGGGCCTATCTGTAGAATAAGAAGGCTGCAGGAGCGATTCCAGGAGCCGCTCCCCAGTCCCCACACCTTGGAGCCTCGGGCTGATACAGAAGAACAAACAGGCAACTTCAGATACCACAGAAGCCGCCCAGAGTCTCAAGTCCACCTTGGCTCCACTCCCACACTCAGCAAAGAGCTGTCCTTCTCCTTCCTTCCCAGGGAGGGGGCGTTTAGGGTACAGCTGCCTTTGAGAGGAGCACAGCTGGGCGAGGCTCTGCACCAGGGTGCTCCCCAGCAGAGAAGACTGCTCCATGGATGGTGGCCTGGGGCCAGCCTTGGCCTCTAGGCTACTGCAAACCTGCCCGTGGGTGGGGGTTCCCGGCTTCCTCCTGGGGTTTTCACGCTGTGGGGTCGGCCTCCCTTTCAGCAATCTCTGGCATCCTAGGGTAGGGGAAGAGGAGGTTGGATTGGGGACACCTCGACACTGCTGCCTGGGAAGATGCCTGCCCGCCCCTTCTTTATCCTGGCTCAGGGCGAAAGGCACCATGAAAAGAAGCCTGTGATTCCCCAAGTAGTCCCTACAGTGGGTCTGAAGCATCTCACATCCCCCTCAGCTGGCTTGAGCACTCGGTTCTGTCTCCTTACAGGTCCTGGAGGGAATGGGGCAGTTCTACCTGCAAGAGACAAAGTCCATCTCTAAAAGCAGGGCTGCAGAAGCCAGGGCTGCAGCTCCTGGGACACCCCAAGGCTGGCCAGCGTGTATAACACCAAGCAAGCCTGGTGTCCCCAGTCAGAACTGCCCTGAGACTGCTGGGTGTCCCTAGCATGGGTGCTCCCGCCTCTACCCCTAGCATACACACTGCTGATTGTCACAAAACTCTTCTCCCTGAACCCCGGTCTTACCCTTGGGGACTGAACAGACTACCTGTGGACATGCCGGTGTCCTGGTCAGCTCCCTTGCAGGCAGGGACACTCCCATCTCGCCGGCTCCAGGCCCCTCGTGCTCTTTCGTTGAATGGCCATCTGTCATTGTATCGGAAGCCCTGATCAGAGCTTCTGGAGCATCACCTTCCAGGGCTCATGGCTGTGTCACCCTCATGAATTTGCTCCTTGAGCTCTATCTGCTCCTTGGCAGGCTGACCCCCACAGCAGACTGTTAATATAGGCATCCTTCAGACTCACGCCCAGGGACTCCCTTCTCACCTTCACTCTCTCCCTGGTTTATCTTTTACCCTCAGACTCCGATTCCCATCTTTCTGCCACATTTACATCTCAAGCCCGGGCCCCTCCCTTGAGCCAGGTATTTATCTCCAGCTGTCCCCTTGACTACTCCACCTGGAAGCCCATAGGTCACATGTCCGCAGTGAGCTCTTCTGTGCAAACCAGGCACATGAGCCAGGGAGCCAGTGATCACTGGATCGCTCCCTCTCCTGATCACCCACTATACCCAGGCTGACAGCAAGCCGATTTTACATTTATCAATAAATCAATAAATCCCAGAAGCTCTCCAGCTCTAATTGCACCAGTCTGATGTGAGCCACCGTCACCTCTCACCTTGACCACTGCAACTGTGTCCAGTCTTGCCCACCTGCACCCACGCTGGCTCTGCCTTTTTGTTTGTCACTTGGCTGGTTTGTTTGACACAGGGTCTTGCTCCATCACCCAGGCTGGAGTGCAGTGGTGCGATCATGGCTCACTACAGCCTCCAGCTCCTGGGCTCAAGCAGCCCTCCCGCTTCAGCCTTCTGAGTAGCTAGGAAGAGTTGGGCAGGTGGGCACCACCACACCTAGCTAATTTAAAAAATTTTTTGTAGAGATGATGTCTTGCCATGTTGGCCAGGCTGGTCTCAGAACTTCTGGTCTCAAATGATCCACCTGCTAGGCCTCCCAAAGTGCTGGGACTATAGGCATGAGCCACAGTGCCTGGCCTGCCTCTCAATTCAGAATAAAGACAAATCACCTCACCATATACCACAAGGCCCCATGCAGCCTGGCCCTGCCTCTCTGGCATCATCTCACAACTCACTGCACTCTGCATTTCCAAAGGTCTTCTTTGGAACTTGCCCTGCTCTCTCCCACCACTGGGCCTTTGCACATGCTCTTTCCACCTGACCAATGCCAGTTTGTTCATCTTTTTAATCTGCAATCACTTTCTGCCTGGGGAAACTTCTCTGACCTCCCGAATTAGGTCAAGGTTCCCCAAGTACAAACTCTTCTTGCACAGACAACAGCTGGAATTTTACACCTATTTGTGGGATGATCTAACAAGTGTCTTTATCTTCCCCATGGCACCGTCACCTCTACAAGGGCAGGAGCAGCACGCTGCACTTCCCAGTGAATTAAGGGATGCCTGTATGTTGTAAAAGCAAAATTGTAATAAATTTTTCTAGGGCAGAATTTTTTTGTCCCAGCATAATTCACATCCTCCTTTTGAGAAGAAATTCCTGAAAAATGCCTAGGCAATTTTCTTGTCCACTTGAGTTTTATATATATATATATATATTTGGACAGAGTCTCACTCTGTCACCCAGGCTGGAGTGCAGTGGCATGATCTCTGCTAACTGCAGCTTCTGCCTCCTAGGTTCAAGCAATTCTCCTACTTCAGCCTCCCGAGTAGCTGGGACTACAGGCACCCACCAACATGCCCAGCTAATCTTTGTATTTTTTTTTTTTTTAGTAGAGTCAGAGTTTCACCATGTTGGCCAGGCTGTTCTCAAACTACTGACCTCAAGTGATCTGCCCACCTGGGCCTCCCAAAGTGCTGGGATTATAGGCCTGAGCCACTGTGCCTGGCCTTGAATGAGAATTATCCCTCTTCTAGGAAGCCCACTCTGGCATTTGGGGGCCCAATAATCTTTTTTTTTTTTTTTTTTTTCTTGAGACAGACTTTTGCTCTTGTTGCCCAGGCTGGAACATAATGGCACAATCTCAGCTCACTGCAACTTCCACTTCCTAGGTTCAAGGGATTCTCCAGCCTCAGTCTTCTGAGTAGCTGGGATTACAGGCGTCAAGAACGCCCGGCTAATTTTTTTCTTTTTTTTTTTTTTTTTTTTTTTATAATTAGTAGAGATTGGTTTTCCCCACGTTGGCCAGGCTGATCTCGAACTACTGACCTCAGGTGATCTACCCACCTCAGCCTCCCAAAGTGCTGGGTTTGCAGAATAATTTTTAACTAGACATTTCTTAATTGAACCACCGTCTTGTTCTTTTTTATCTTTTGTTAGATAACTATAAAAATAATTGTTTTGGCCGGATGCGGTGGCTCACGCCTGTAATCCAGAACTTCGGGAGGCCGAAACCGGCGGATCACCTGAGGTGGGGAGTTCTACTAAAAATATAAAATTAGCGGGGCCTAGTGGAGCATGCCTATAATCCCAGCTACTCAGGAGGCTGAGTCAGGAGAATTGTTTGAACCTGGTAGGCGAAGGTTGCAGTGAGCCGAGATCGCGCCATTGCACTCCAGCCTGGGCAACAAGAGCAAAACTCGTCTCAAAAAAAATAAATAAATAAAAATAAAATTGTTTTAAGGTCCTTTTCTTGCATAAAGCTTAAAAATTCTATATAAGCAATTTTCTGGAGTGTATTTTTGTTGAATAATCTCGAAGCATTCGTAGTGCTTATTTGTGGGAAATTGGAAATCTAAAAAGCCTTTGGGCCCTGCAGGACTAGAATTTCTGGCATGAAGGACATGCTCCATAGCCCGTACCTCAACCCCAACGCCACAACGCCCCCTCGTGTTCACAGCATTGACAAGCATGAGTAGCGGGGGAGGCAGGACAAATACTACAACTCCCATAAGGTCTAGCATTTTTAGTGACGTCTATACGCTGCCGGGGCTGGCCTTCTAGACCCACAGCTTTCCCATTGGCCAACAATTGAAGACGCCTGCGCAGATGGTGCAGTTCCGCCCCCTTCACCCTGTGACGCGCAGACGACGCCCGGGCGTTTTCCTGAGTTGGTGATGGAGACACCCGGCGCATCAGCTTCGTCTTTGTTGCTCCCCGCCGCGTCCAGACCCCCGAGGAAGCGCGAGGCTGGAGAGGCTGGGGCTGTGACGAGCAAGCAGAGGGTACTGGACGAGGAAGAGTATATCGAGGTATGACCTCGGTGCGGACGCCGGCGGCTTCTGGGCCCCTCCCCTGCTTCCCGCTCCCCTTGGGTTCCCTGTCTCGGATCTTGACACTCCGTCTCCTCATGGAAGTGGAGCAGCCGGAGTCCCTGTCTTTGGGGAGTGGACGGTCCCACGAGCCAAGTAAACAGAGAAGAGGAAGACGTCTTTGGTGGAGGAGGCTTGTAGCAGTGTTGTCAGGAAAAAGAGGGAGCGGCCCTCTGTATGAGATGGGGGTCAGGGAAATAAGGTTTGCTGTTAAAAAGTGAGAGCAGGCCGGGCGCGGTGGCTCACGCCTGTAATCCCAGCACTGTGGGAGGCCGAGGCGGGCGGATCACGAGATCAAGAGATCGAGACCATCCTGGTCAACATGGTGAAACCCCGTCTCTACTGAAAATACAAAACATTAGCTGGGCATGGTGGTGCGTGCCTGTAATCCCAGCGACTCAGGAGGCTGAGGCAGGAGAATTGCCTGAACCCAGGAGGCAGAGGTTGCGGTGAGCCGAGATCGCGCCATTGCACTCCAGCCTGGGTAACAAGAGCGAAACTCCGTCTCAAAAAAAAAAAAAAAAAAAAAGTGAGAGTAGGAGTTTGACATACTGGAAGGGTGGTGACAAAGAGGGCTTTCTAAAGAGCAGTGGCAGCACGTATGAACGCTGGGGTTCCTCGAAAGAGACAGCAGTTGTGACAGCATCTCGAGTGAGTGGACCTCCGTGGCTCCTTGAAGTAGGTTCTGGTCCACCACAAGCAAACAGAAGCTGACATGGGGATTGGCGGAAGTCAGTTTGGTTTTAGGCCTCTTTAATTCGGGACACCTTTTGGGATATGCAGATGGGTGGTTTTAACCGGCGACTGGTTGCCTAGATTTGCAGCTCAGGAGCAAGGTCTAGGGGGAGGTGCAGACTTGAGAATCTCAACCGTTGGTAGTGACTGGCTGAAGTTAGGAAAAGGTTTATTCTTATTTTATTTTATTTTATTTTATTTTTTGAGACGGTCTTGCTTTGTCGCCCAGGGGGGAGTGCAGTGGCGAGATCTTGACTCACTGCAACCAACCCCTGCCTCATGGGTTCAAGCCATTCTCCTGCCTCAGCCTGCCAAGTAGCTGGGACTACAGGCACCCGCCACCACACCCGGCTACTTTTTTGTGTTTTTAGTAGAGGCAAGGTTTCACCATGTTGGTCAGGCTGGTCTCCAACTCCTGACTTCTTAGCCTCTCAAAGTGCTGGGATTACAGGCATGAGCCATTATGCCCTGCCAGGAAAAAAGGTTTAGAATGGAAATAGAAAGTCATGTGTGGAATGAAAATGACAGCACCCACATTGGTCTGGCTGGTGGGAAGCCAGCAATGGAAAATGAGAATGACCAGTTAGCAAGGGTGAGACAGAAGGGTTTCACAGACATTAGAGGAGTGTTTAGTATAATGTTAGAGATCGTAGCATGGCTACCATGTGGGATGTGCAGCCTTGCTAGAAACTACCCTCAGGCTCCCTCAAGCCAGCCCCAATCATTGGGGAAACAGAATTTGAAGGAGGTTCAGCAAGGGCCTTAGCATGTACAGGAGTGGACTGTGAGGCAGGAGCACCTAGACAGCAGCTCTGACTTTCGTTCTGATCTCTCCTGGCAGGGCCTCCAGACAGTCATCCAAAGGGATTTCTTTCCTGATGTGGAGAAGCTGCAAGCACAGAAGGAGTACCTGGAAGCCGAGGAGAATGGAGACTTGGAACGGATGCGCCAGATTGCCATCAAATTTGGCTCTGCCTTGGGCAAGATGTCCCGGGAGCCCCCACCACCCTGTATGAGGACCCTGTGGGTGGCAGAGAGGGAAAAGCCTGCTGAACTGTTGCCTCAGGCTCGCTCTGATTCTTAACTACCCTCTTCCCCTAGATGTGACTCCAGCCACGTTTGAAACCCCTGAGGTGCATGCAGGTACTGGAGTGGTGGGCAACAAGCCCAGGCCCCGGGGCCGAGGCCTGGAGGATGGTGAGTGAGGATGCCCTCTTTCAGTCACATGGCCTGGAAATCTTATCCTGTCAGGTCCTGAGGGGGTGGTCCAGAGGGCTGCAGGTCATCTTGTCCCTGAGGGGTCGTTCCTAATAGCATCCTGTGAAGTCAAAGGACATTGGTGTAAGAGGTAGAACATCTGGGTGCAGCTCCCACACATGGCTCACTTCTGGGAAATGGGACTCTCACCAGCTCTCGGTGGCTTCTCTGCTGTGTTCCAGCCCTGCCCTGTGGGCTTCATGGATGTTGGAAGGCCCCTTTGTCACTATCTGGAAGATGCCTCAGGGCCTCTCCATTTGTTTCCTTCATGTTGGGCACTTCCTCAGATCACTGCATAGCTCCATGCCTGTCTTCCTATAGATCTCCTCATAGATGTTACCTATTCAGAGAAACCTTTCTTGACCTGACATTGTAAATCACAACACTCCTGGTGCTCTGTGGCTTCCAGCCTGGCTTTGGTTTTTCACAAGATGTAACATTTTATTTTATCCTTTACTTTTTATTTTTTGACAGAGAGTCTTACTCTGTCACCCAGGTTGGAGTGCAGTGGTGCAATCCCGACTCACTGCAACCTCCACCTCCCGGGTTCAAGCAATTCTTCCTCCTCAGCCTCCCGAGTAGCTGGGATTACAGGCACGTGCCACCACGCCCAGCTAATTTTTGTATTTTTAGTAGAGACGGGGTTTCGCCATGTTGGCCAGGCTATTCTTGGACTCCTGACCTCAGATGATCCGTCTGCCTTGGCCTCCCAAAGTGCTGGGATTACAGGTATGAGCCACCATGCCCGGCTAAGACATAGCTTTTTAAAGATGTTTCTGTTTATGGCTCTTTTTCCCTAATTGGCATCCCTTCCAGAAACTTTGTCTTGCTTTCATCTGTATGCTCTGTGTTGAGAACAGCGCACGTGGTGTTGTGGACCTTCCACAGATACACGTGGAACAGATGAAACAAGTGTCATCTTCAGCATGTTTGCTGGGACACACAGGTCTGTATGGTAACATCGTGACTTGATGGGGGAGTCCATTTAGGAAAGGGCACCCCGAATCCTGTTGAATGTGTTCTGCCATGGGACTTCGGAATGGTCGGTCAGTCTTTTCAGCGGCAGAGTCTGTCAATGCACACGCTCTTTCCTCTCAGTTTCTAGAGCCCAGTATGCTGGAGTAGCACATGTGTTATATGTTTGCACAAATGTGATATTTTTTGCTTTACGAAAAAGATTGGCCATTAACACAGTCCTTGTTGCTCTTAAAGCTTGATTATCTGTTGAAGTGTAGCTTCTGCATCACAGAACAATTTGTGGATTTTTTTTCTTTCTATTTTTTTTTTTTTTTTTTAGTTTTTATAGAGTTTCATTATGTTGGCCAGGCTGGTCTCAAACTCCTGAGTTCAAATGATGCTCCCACCTTGGCCTCCCAAAATGCTAGGATTATAAGCATAAGCTGTCATGCCTAGCCAATTTGCAGACTTTTAATACCTGTACACCTTACATGCCAGAAAGTGGAGGAATCCTTTCTAGGACCTAAGTGGTAGGAACCATCATCACGTTTATAGGTGAGGAAACTGAGACTCAGAAAGGCAGTTACTTCTGCAGGTCTCGGAGATGGTCAGGGGTGGAAGGGGGTTTCAGTACTCACCTCTCTGACCCCGTCCTCATCCTGGGAATCATGGATCTTGAACTTGTAGCCACTGAGCTTTGTGCACAGCCTCACATGTAGCAGGTGGTCTGGACTGTCACTAGACTTGAAAGCAAAGGTGGCCCCACTGAAGTTTGCAGCACCAGGGCACCACCTCAGTGGGGGCGCCACTCTCCATGGTGGCAGGGTTGCTATGGGGGTGTTTGGGGTTGTGACTTAGCACCTGTGAGGCCCCATCCAGAGCACTGGGTCATAGAGGGTCCCTGGAAGTAGGGCTGGCTTTCAGGTCAGAATGATCTCCCTAGGATTTCTTACCTTAACCACTCTTCCCTTCCCAGTACCTGTCGGAAGGGAAGAGTGGTTAAGGTAAGAAATCCTAAGTGAGGGAGAGCCCCAGGGGATTTGGAAGTCCATCTCACAGGCCTGGCACCATTCTGGTGGGGGAGGAGCCTGCTTGTGATCGTGAGCTCTTGCTCTAACACCTGTATTGCTCTCTCTAGTCTGAATCAGACCACATAATTCCGTTGGCATCCAGCAATGAGTGAAGCTGGTCCTGCGTCTGTAGGGCACCATTTGAGAGCTCTCTGGGCAGTCGGGGTGTGGGGATTCTACCCCCATGAGGAGTCCTTGGGAGTGTGGGCTCTCATGGACAGAAGCCAGGACCAGGGAGAGAATTCCAGCCCTGCATGTTGGGGGCTGTGATTCCTGGCCTCGGTGTCCTCCTCTTTCCTGACTACAAAGGGTACTTATGCTATATATGGTGCTGTGTTTCCCCTTTTGCAACCCCTAAGGAGGAGAGGCTGGAGAGGAGGAGGAGAAGGAACCACTGCCCAGCCTGGATGTCTTCCTGAGCCGCTACACGAGTGAGGACAATGCCTCCTTCCAGGAGATCATGGAGGTGGCCAAGGAGAGGAGCAGGGCACGCCATGCTTGGCTCTACCAGGCTGAGGAGGAGTTTGAGAAGGTATCTCTGGGACCTGGGATGTCACATAGGCATAAGCACCCTCTGTGGTGGTGGGGGAATCCCCAGGGCCATGGGCACAATGCTCAGGAGCATCTCTGACCATCACTTTTCCTTATGTGATTGAAGAGGCAGAAAGATAATCTCGAACTCCCGTCAGCAGAGCGCCAGGCCATCAAGAGCAGCCAGGCCGGTGTGGAGACCTGGAAGTACAAGGCCAAGAATTCCCTCATGTACTATCCAGAGGGTAAGCGGGCAGGCCCGGCAGCCAGATGGGGAGGTGTCGGGTAGAACTGCGTGTGTCTGGCTCTGTGTTTGGAGCAGCCTTCCAGGTGTGTATGTCTGTGCCCCCTTGCAGTTTGGGCCTCCTAGGGGTACTGGTCTGTCTCAGGGTGGACAGGTCTGTGTGAAGTCAGCAGTGAGTGAAGCCCTCTCCAGCGCCACCAGGGCCTGTGCTTAGCTCAATGCTTCTGTTCATCTGGGAGTGACTTGCCTGAGAAGTGAGCTCCTCTTGCTCCTCAGGCTCTGCCCTTCTGACACCTGCTGCTACCTTTGCTTCATCTGCCAGGTGTCCCTGATGAGGAGCAGCTGTTTAAGAAGCCCCGGCAGGTGGTGCATAAGAATACGCGCTTCCTTAGGGACCCCTTCAGCCAAGCCCTGAGCAGGTGCCAGCTCCAGCAGGCGGCCGCCCTCAATGCCCAGGTGAGCGGGCGGGTCAGCAGGGGCAGGGCTGCCAGGGGGCAGGCAGATCTCTCCCATCTCCTTGAGCTTGGTGGAGCTCAGTGAGTGGAACCATCTGGGGCCCTGTGCAGCAGGGGTCCCGAGTCTTTCCTCAGTCCCTGTGGGCTTCTATTGAACACTGCGTTGGTCACACACATTCTATAGGTCTAGATCTGTGCCAGCTCCCTTGATGGCAGGGGCATGAGAGAAAAGAGGCTGCTGGGTGTGAGCCCAGGCTGGCAGCTGCACGCCCACCCACCAGGCAGGGAAGCCAGCGAGCAGCAGAGGGATCCTGGCACCAGCGGGTGGCTGAGGTGGGACAGCCCCTGGGTTGGCAGAGAGCAGAGGCTTTCTGAGTCTGGGAGCAAGACGAGTGGATACTCTGACAGTGACTGTGGCGGTCACGGGGTGGAAGTGGGGAAGGCAGGAAGAGGCTAGAGCCTAAGTTCTCTCATCGGCATTGCCCCCAGCAGGGGCCTGGAGTCAGCATCCTCTGGAGTCCCCGAGTTAGGTGCAGCTCAAGCTGAGGCCCTGTCACCTCCCTGGTTGGGAGGAGGGGGCTTCTCTCACTTGGGTGCCCACTTTGACAGGCCCTCAAGGTCTTTTGGGGGGGTTGGGGCAGGGGCCTCCCCTTTCTTTCTCCAAGGAGGCTGCCAGCCAGAGCCCCAGCCTTGCCCTGATGGGAGGAAGTGTTTCCAGCATGTTCTTTTGTGTTTGCCCACCAGCCAGCTGTTGATTGTGGACTGTGGTTCCCCCTAATGCCAGCCTCTCTGCTTGTTCCAGCACAAACAGGGCAAGGTGGGCCCCGATGGCAAGGAGCTGATCCCCCAGGAATCCCCCCGAGTGGGTGGATTTGGATTTGTTGCCACTCCTTCTCCTGCCCCTGGTGAGGAAAAGTGCACACTGGCAAGTGGTCCCACTGCTGGGACTCCCTGAGGGAGGTGGGCTTCTCAGTCGGCCCTGGCCACTCCTGGCCTCCACCTGGCCTGCCTCATACTTTGTGTAACTCTGGGACCTGGTCTTCTGTCTGTACAAGGCCCTAGAGGCCGGGTGTCCAGGCTACTCAGGGCCGTAGGTGGGCTATACCTGACCTGAGACATCCTGGGATGATGTGTCTTGTCCTGGTCCTTACTGTGATGTCAGCAGGTGGGGTAGGGGGGTGTGTGCACAGTGCTTATGAGTCTAAGTCTGCTTAGCACTGCAGGGAGGGAGGCTTGGCACCTCAGGGGGCAGGTGAGACTCACTTGGTCCTGTGGCATGTGTGGGTACCCCTCCTGCACTCTGGCCTCTGTGCTCTCGGGTGCTAGTGCTGCGTCACAGGTCAGGGCATGTGAAGGCACCACAGGTTTGCACGGGGTTCTAGGAGGTTTGGGAGCCCTGGAAGGCCTGAGTGTCTCCTCCTGCGTGATTAGGGGAGACCTCCCAGAGGCTTATAGGCTAAGTATGTAGCTGTAGGGCCCTGAGCCCTCCTCGGGCCCACTGGGACCTTGGCATTTCCCTTTCGAAGGATGGAGGTGCCAGTGTTCCAGAGTCCAGGGGAAGGAGAGAGGGCTAGCTGCCTGCCTTCTTATTAGTTGGGATGCACATCGGGTGAACTGGATGTGACTGGAGGTGAGGGCGGTGGGGACCCCAGCTGAGTCCTCTGTCCTGAAGTGGTTTTGGGCTCTTTGTCTGCAGGTGTGAATGAGTCCCCAATGATGACCTGGGGGGAGGTTGAGAACACACCCTTGAGAGTTGAAGGTTCGGAAACCCCCTACGTGGACAGGACACCAGGGCCAGCTTTCAAGGTGGGTTGTGGTGATGGGGGAACAGTGTGTGACTCAGTGTGGATGCCTCCGGAGCCCTGAGTGCCTGTGGCTCAGGATTGAGCACTGGGATTGACCCCCAGCTGCTGACAGGCAGAGTGTTGACTTTTCTGAAGGCCAGGTGCCAAAGGCAGGTGTGGGTGGGTAGGTGGGCCTGTCACAGAGGGATTTGGGGGGGTGAGGGCTGAGACACCAAGGTAAAGTGTGGCTTGGGTCCTCTGAATCCTAGAGGCCGGGTGCTGTTTGTGAATGAAGCAGGATGGTCACAGGCACGTAAGGAGCTCTGCAGGCCTGAGGGCCATGGGATGTGGCTGTGTGCTTGCAGAGGAAGGCCCCTGGTTACAGAACACGATTGGGGCACACTGGATTACACGGCTCAAGCCTGGTGTTGTAGGAGTGGTCAGGGTGGAGTGTGTGAGGCTCGGCACAGACCAGGGGAGGCTCTTTGTGGCCTCCCTATACCACTGCAGGGCTTTCCCCTAGAGTACTTAGTAGAGGTAACCCACGTGCAGACAAAACGTGGGCAGAGGTTTTGGTTACCTTGGTTCTAAATTCTGTCTGGGATGCAAGCATAACCAAGGCAAACGTACAGGAGGGATAATGAAGAGGGTGCTGTGTTGTCAAATGTGAGCTCAAGGCAAGGGCCAAGGTGCTTCCGAGGTGCTGCCTGCTGCTGCTGCTTGAGCCTCCAGGCTGACAGAAAAAAAAATTCTGAAACAAACCATGATCCAAGTCAGAACTTAGGGGCTGATAAAGATGGCAAGTCAAATTGCACTGAATAGCAGAGTATTTAGACATGAGAGAAGCTGAGTCCTTCGGATGCATAGCAGCATATATTCTGGAAAAGCGGAAAGGTTACCTGTAAAAACAATAACCAAAGAACAACCAGGAAAAAAAAATGGCAAGTATTTAGTTTGATTTTTAAATTTTTATTTATTAACTATTATTATTATTATTACTTTTTTGAGATGGAGTCTCACTCTGTCACCCAGGCTGGAGTGCAGTGGCACAATCTTGGCTCACTCCAACCTCCACCTCCTGGGTTCAAGTGATTGTCCTCCCTCAGTCTCCTGAGTAGCTGGGACAGCGGGCATGTGCCACCGCACCTGGCTAATTTTTGTATTTTTAGTAGAGGCAGGGTTTCACCATGTTGGTCAGGCTGGTCTTGAACTCCTGACCTTGTGATCCGCCCACCTTGGCCTCCCAAAGTGCTGGGATTACAGGCGTAAGCCACCTCACCTGACCTTTTTTTTTTTTTTTTTTTTTTTAAAAAACAGTTAGGGATTCACTCTGTTGCTCAGGCTGGAGAGCTGTGGTGCAATTATAGCTCACTGTAGCATTGAACTCCTGGGCTCAAGTGACCTTCCAGCCTCAGCCTCCTGATTAGCTGGGACCAACAGCACACACCACCACACCCGGCTAATTTTTTTAAATTTTTTGTATGGAAATGAGGTCTTGTTATGTTGCCCAGGCTGGTATCCAATTTCTGAGTACAAGTGATCCTCCCACCTTGGCCTCCCAGAGTGTTGGGGTTACAGGTGTGAGCCACCACTCCCAGCGTGTAGTCTAATCTTAGGAAGAACCTTCTAAACATAAAAGGAAAAGGAAGAAATCACAAAGATGACAAATACAGCAGAAAATATTATAAATGAAACTAATGCAAATAACTGAAAACATACGTGCATGGCATAGTGCAGTTGACGACGCAGGTGAGGGTCTTCTGAGTGACAGAAGCAGAAAAGGAAAATCAGTCCCTTGAGGGCAAACTAGGCCACAGACACACAGGGAATCTGCACCCGAAATAGACAGGGCCAATAAAGACAGAGAAGTTCATTCTGAGAATTAGGGAAACATTAAAACAGACACTCTTTTTCCTGAGAGATTGTCAGAGGTCATGGCTTTGGGAGGGATACGAAGACAGGTAAGGAGTGCTGGCCCCTGGAGAGGGCAGGTGGGGCTGGGGGCTTTGGAGGGGCTTTTAGAGGGAATTGATGGTGGGTTGTGGGGATTGTGTAGGCCACAGGGAGAGGCTGGCGCCCACAACAGTGACTCTCTGTGTGAGGGACTACCATGTGGCAGGCCTGGCACAGCTACCCACATGTCTGATCCCTTATAGATCCTGGAGCCAGGCCGCAGGGAACGGCTCGGGCTGAAGATGGCCAATGAGGCCGCTGCCAAGAACCGGGCCAAGAAGCAGGAAGCCTTGCGGAGAGTGACGGAGAACCTGGCCAGGTGAGGGGCTGCCTGGCTGGTGGGGAAGTGGAAGGGTGGCCCTGGCCTGCTCCTGTTCAGCCTTTGCCTTGACGGTGTGGAGGTGTGGACCATGTGGCAGAGTCCAGGGCAGGTCCACGGGGTTCTGCAGTGGGGGCTGTGGCAGCTTCTCTTACCCAGAGCTTGGCCACACATGGACAGGACGAGGGCCCCTCCATCTTCTCTTTCCTCCACATCCTCTTTGGCCCGTCCCTAAGAGGCACCTTTAGGTGTGTGGTCCTGCTGGGAGCTTTCATCAGCCCTGTGGAGAGTGTCATCGTTCCCCTTGGAGAGGGGTGGGGACTCCAACTCTCAGAGGACTGGGGGTCTACCCCAGCCCTCACAGCTAGGACAGCATGCTGTTTGACCTCAGATTTGACCTGAGCGCTGCCATTTGACCTCGGGGCTCCCCGGTACTTGCACCTTGCCAGGCAGTGCCGTCCTCAGCCCAGAGTGGCTGTGTCTCTGCCCAGGCTCTTCCTGGGAGCTGAGGGAGGCCCTACTGCCGGCAGCTCTCCACCCACCTAACCCTGCCTCTCTTGCCCATCCCTCCACCCCAGCCTCACCCCCAAAGGCCTGAGCCCAGCCATGTCCCCAGCCCTACAGCGCCTTGTGAGCAGGACAGCCAGCAAGTACACAGACCGGGCCCTACGGGCCAGCTACACACCATCCCCAGCACGCTCCACCCACCTCAAGACCCCAGCCAGTGGACTGCAGACCCCCACAAGCACACCAGCACCTGGCTCTGCCACACGCACCCCCCTCACGCAGGACCCGGCCTCCATCACAGACAACCTGCTGCAGCTCCCTGCCCGGCGCAAAGCTTCGGACTTCTTTTAGAGCCAGGCCTGGGGCTGGGCCCATGGACACTTCATGGAATCTGCAGGGCAGCTGTCCACCCAGCAGAGGACTCCAGCCTTCTCAGGACCCAGGCCTGGGCCAGAAGCTGTTGACCTTGCCAGGAGCCACTGGAAAAGGGGACTGTGCTGGGGCCAGGTTGGCACAGGCTGGCACAGGACGCACACCCCAGGGCCTTGCCAAGCTGTTTGCTACTTAATCGGCCCCTTGAACTGTCATTAAAGAACACCTGGTACAGTCTGGTGGGATCTCCTCTCCGTCCTGCTCCCCACACAAGCCCCAGGGTTGCCCTGGGGCCTGCATCACGTCTCAGGACTGCAGGGCTTAAAGCGAGGGGCCCCCCAGGCAAGGAAGCTGCAGGTGGGGTGGCTGTGGGAGCTCCGGGTGACTCTGGCATTGCTTTCTGCAGCACCCGGAACCTGCATTCTGAGCTGAGGTCACACACATCCTCCAGTGCTTTCTGCTCCTCTGGGGATAATGTGAAGGAGAGATGGAGCCCTTGGAAGTTATACCGCTCAGGTTCACCTGCGGCTCTGGGCCCAGCTCTGCAGCCTCCAAGCTGGGCTTGCCTGCTGTGAGGTGCACTGGTTATAGGAGTGTTTGGGAGTGCATATCAGGTGACCTCAGCTGTCACCTTCTCCTAGCACCTGGCTTCCAGCTCAGATGGGGTGGGACTGTCCCATCTTCCTGCCCTTCTGCTCAGCCCTCTGTTATAGGCACTGCCTGTCTTATGCTGCTGGCCTTGGCCTCACCTTGTCAGTCCCACCAGTAGGAACACCCAGGTAATAGTAACATGGGCCCCAGGCTCCATGCAGACCTGGCATGTGCCCTGTGCACTGTGGACGCACTTGGCCATGGGCCGAGGTTGTAGGTGCCAGACCCTTAGGAGCCTGGTGGCCTTGTGTTTTAGTGGGGGACTGGGCCTGCTTCCTGTGGTGGTAGAGAGGCCCAGCTGGGCCCAAGACCAAGGTCTGGCTCCTATTGGTGGGAGTGACAAGGTGAGGACTCAAGTGGAGGTCACAGATTGTGCCCTCAGGGTGGGGGGTCTTGCTGCTCAGGGACACACCTGGCCTCTACTCACACTGGGGTCTTTCCTGCTTTGTGTGTGCCCAGCCTGTGCTAGGCGATCTTCTCTGGTCCCCTCACTCCTTCCCTAAGGGCCAAAGTTCTCTGGAGGCCGGTGCAGAACCTGACTCTGCCACCTGCTTGGGGCCACTGCTAACCTGTGCTCCTCGACAGTGAGTTCCTGCAGGTTCCTGGGGTGCTAGATGTGCCTTGGGACCTGCAGGTGGATGTAGGGGTGCTGGACAGATCAGGCTGGGACTGTTAATAGGTGGGGAAGGTGGGGCCTTTGGTGCTTTATCCCATAGGAAAGGGTGGGTGTTACCTCAAGGGAGTCCCTAGGAAGTGGGAAGGGAGTGGGGAGGATCGCGGTCTAGGTGCTGACCACCTCAAGCACTTGGCTGGCAAATGGGCTGCATGCTTTGGGAGCAGTGGGTGACCCAGCAGGAAGCACGAAAGACCAACCAGTGCACCATCACCAAGGGCTGCTGAGCAGCTTACAGGGCCACTGGTCAGGTAGGGCACAGGGGAGGTGAGGTCTCAGCTGAGGCTGCCCCTGGAGGACAAGGCAGGGAACTTGAGGGCTGAGGACAGAAATCTCAAATGACTGGGAAATGGAGGAAGAGGAGGATGCTGAGGGAGCGGTTGTGAGGGAGTGGGGGCAGGTCAGAGCAGGCTGAACTACAGGAGGCCAGGGGGAGCTGTAGACCTTTGGAGCTGGCCAGCCCCGGGGCAATGGGGATGGGGCTAGGTCAGAGGGAGACAGTGTGGGCCTGGTGGGTGGACCCTGGCAGAGGCCCTCTCATCCCCCACTAGGCCAGGCCATACCGTGAGTCTGCCTGTGCCTGAGCACCTGTCCTGTGATCCTAGGCTGGAGACCACTGTGCGTCAGCTGGGGCGGCTGGCCGAGTCCCAGAGAAAAACACTCCTCACTGGGCACTCTCGATGCTTGTACACACCCTGTGGTTTATTTGGTGGTCAGTAAGGAACGTCTTTGCTACTAAGTGGAAGAAAGCTAATGGAATGTAATCAAAATAGTGGTTTAATTGACGAATTTTACTTGCACCTGTGCCTTCTTCAGATCCTACCTGCCTACTTAGTTTATGTGAAGGCCAACTGCGCCACGCGCCCCCTACCCCCCGCCCCCACTGCACATGATGGGGCTGTCACCATGCTAGGTGCTCGCTTTCCCCACCGCCGCTCCGAAGATGTGATGGTCTTTGGCCCTGGAAGTCTCGGCCAGCCTGTCCTCCATCCTGTCCTCGTTCTCGGGCACCACCAGCGGCCGGTGCTGGTTTTTGGCTCCAAGCTTGTGGTCGGGCTTGTGGTCAGGCCTTGAGCCTGGCTTGGTGTCCAGTTTGCACTCAGCACGGTACTTGCCCTCCCCCTCCCTCTTGAAGGAGGCAGAAGACATGGCTTTGGGCCTGGGGGGCTGCAGCCACGAGTGGCTGAGGATCTCGTCAATGTGGAGCCGCTGGCTGACGTCAGGCTGCAGCATGCGGTAGATGAGGTCCTTGCATTCGCAGGTCAGGTTCTTGGAGCGCGGGAAGTCCACACGGTGCTCCTTCTGGATACGCAGCATCTTCCTGATGTCAGAGTCGTCGTAGGGCATGGAACCACAGACCATGATGTAGAGGATCACGCCCAGGCTCCAGATGTCATACACCTTGGGCTGGTAGGGGATGCCCTGCAGCACCTCGGGGGCCGCATACGCCGCCGACCCACAGAAGGTCTTGCTGAGGATGATGCGTCCATTGCCGTCCCGCAGACATCGCTTGGAGAAGCCAAAGTCAGACAGCTTGATGTTGAAGTCCTTGTCGAGAAGAAGGTTCTCGCACTTGAGGTCCCGGTGGACGACATCCAGGTCGTGGCAGTACTTGACGGCCGAGGAGAGCTGTCGAAACATCTTGCGCGCCATATCCTCGTGCAGGGCCCCCCGGCACTTGATGAACTCAAGGAGGTCGCCCTGGACGCCGAGCTCCATGATGATGTAGATCCGCCCGTCAGAAGTCTCAAAGATCTCGTAGGTCTTAATGATGGAGCAGTGGTTGACAGTTGCCAGGATGTCCATCTCCCGAGGAAGGAACCTCTCCACAAAGTCGGTGGGCGTTTTCTTGCGGTCGATGATCTTGACAGCCACATTGAACTTGAGGCGCTCAGAGTAGGCAGATTTGACTTTTGCGTAGGAACCCTTGCCGAGATTGATGCCCACGATGTAACCCTTCTTCTTTAGGACTGTGGCATCGTCCATGGTGCCAGGAGCGGCTGGCGCCACTGCCGTCTACATCCCCCCACCACGTGGGCCAGCAGGCATTGTCTTCATTTACGCTACTGGGAGGTGTCTGGCTGGGCTGGTCTCGGCTTGGGAGGATTGGGTGGAACACTCAGCATTGTCTCTGGGTGACTTCAGCAAATGAAGTCATAAAGCTAAGGAGTGGGGTGCGGGGACTGGGCTGGGGGGAACACGGTCCCTGGAACCGTGGAAGCCAGGCTGGTCTGGCAGGAGTACCCGCTCCCCACCCACTGGAAGGAAGCCCGCCCGTAGGACAGGACTGTGGTGACCCTCCCTGCTGCTGCTCCTTGCATTGGCTTCCCTGTCACAAGTCAGGCCCAAGGGGAGGAGGCCCACGTCCAGCCTGTTTCCCTCACCTGGCTATGGGGACTGACCCTGCATTGGTCTTTGTCCCGCTAGGATGGGTTTCCTGCAGCTTCTTTGGGCTATGAAGAAAAGACCCCTAGGGCTGTGTCCTTCGTGTGACAGGACAGTTCTCCCTGACAGTCACACAGACGGGCCTGCATAGCATCCCAGTTACAGACAAATTTCCACAGCGATGCCTTAACACTGAGCAAATAGTTAAATCTAGGGAAATCGGTGCCCAGGCATCAAAGCTAGAAATGAAACATGGTCAGCAGGAGCCTTGCGTGGGCTTCTCCCTTGCTGGAGCAAGCCAAAATAATGGGAACGGTTTTACATTCCTAGTGCCAGGACCTGTCTTGGGTCAACACAGTCTGAGACAAGTCAAGGTAGGAGAGGCAGCTGTTTGAATAGATTCATTGGAGAGTCTAAGGCAGCTCTCCAGACCAAGCTGTAAAGGAGTTAAGATTGTAATAATCACTCTGGTAGCACAGTAGGCAGGCCTTAAAGCTACTGGGCCCCTTTCAATTGGACTTCGCAAGCATTTTTTTTTTTTTGTCTCTGACCTTCTACTTGAAACAAAATTAGTTGCCAGTAGACTTAGGTGATTGCTGTACTGCACATATGCCCATAACCCCAACCTATGTAGACACCAAGAAAATTGTAAGACTTTGAGTTGGTCTGTGGAATTATCTCTGGTCTTCTTCCTGTATCCGGTTGTGGTAATAAATTCCCTTCTTTCCTAGTTTGTCTAATTCTTGTTGTTGGGCCTTAAGAAAATGCAGCTGGACCTGGCTTGGTTCTGGGAACATTGGGACCAGTGGTACCTGGGAGGGACTGCCTTGGACTAGTCAGGCTGGCGGTGGTGCCAAGCTTGGTGGATGAAAGCACCTCTGTGTTTAAGAGCGGAGGCGCCAGGCCCCTCAGGGTAGAGAGCCGGGTAGGTGAGTTGCTGCTGGTCCAGCAAGCGGGGGCCTGTGTGTGGGTGGGTCGGGGCTTTGGTGCATGCCAACTGGCAGGCGGCTGCATGTCTGAGGGGTGGGGCAGGGCCTTGCTTGGTTAGAAGCGGCAGGAAGGCACCCAGGCAGCAGAGAGCCTGGGAGAAGAGAGGACTTTTTCTGAAAGTGACTGGGAAGTAGAAGTCAGGAGGGAAGTGAAAGAGTCGGGGCTTTTTCTCTGAGCAGCAGGCAACTGCTGCAGGGTGCAGGACAGGAGGGGGCTGTCCCAGTGTGTTTTACGATGGTCACTGGCAGAGAGAGAGAGAGAGAGAGAGAGGGAGAGTAGAACTGGCTTTGGGGTGAGGGTGGGGGCCAGTGCCTTTGAGCAAGTGAGAGGAGGCTGGGCCAGGATGGGCCTCAGGATCAGCAGGGGAAAGAGAAGTCAGGCCTCAGTCAGTCTTGTTTTCTAGTCTGTTGGTGGATGGGCCTTGGTACTGGGGAATCCTGGGGCTGGGAGTGCCCAGGCCATGCCCTGCAAAGAGCAAGCACCTGGGTGAGAAGGGGGTTCTGAATCACGTCAGTTTGGGCCCTTGTCTGGAGCGGGCAGCAGTTGCCTGTTGGGACCCTAAAGATGCACATCATGTGCATCTTGGGCTGCCTTTTGTACCTGGAAGCAGTGTGGACATCGTTTCTCAGGGCTCACGTGGATTTGTGCTTTGGGAAATGTGGCATCCTGCACATGCCTCCATAGGTGCTTTGGACTGATGTTTATTTGTCGTCCATCACAGGCATCCTGGGTCCACAGGGAGCAGCTGGGACAGACAAGCTGTGTGCTCAGTGTTCAGGGGAGAGGGAGGAAGGCCTGTTTCCAGGTGGGGTTTAGTCCTGGAAGGTTTGAAAGGGGAAGTGATACTGGAGCTGGGGTGCTGGGGATCAGCAGGCTCCACGGGGTTGACAAGAGGGGCAGGACATGCCAGGAAGATGTGACATTTTGGCCCTGGTATGGTTGGGTGGACCCACTCCATCTGGAGTACACAGGGAGCACCCTGTGTTTGTAGGTCACTAGGGAGGATTGCAGAGGCAGGGCAGCCAAAGTCAGGATGCCAAGCTGAGAGGCTCAGATGAGCAGGGTGGGTCAGCGTGCCCACAGTGACTGCCTTCCAGCAGGACGGCCTCCCAAAGTCCCACCTGAAGCTCTTTATAGCATCAGTGGTTAATAGCTTTAGTTGGATGTTTTCCTTTCTTCTGGGGGCCACTAAGGCTGAAATGACCAGCACTTCATTCCTTTTTGTCCTAGAAGGGGCTGACTGTGAAAATTTGCAGACCAGGACCCAGGAGCATGAGAACTCCCGCTTACCCCCCGCCCCCAATCCTTTCCCTTGCTCTTCCAAATGCTCTGTCTGAGGCTTCTCTCTGCATGTCTGCCTTCTTGCCAGAAGCTACCAACGCCTTCTCCCGTGTGTGTGTGTGTGTGTGTGTGTGTGTGCACGCGCGCACGCGCATTCTACTTCTTTACTCCCTGAGGGCCTCTCTGGTGCTTGGGGGACATGCCAGAAGAGGCAGGTGTCAACATTGTGGAGGCAGAGTTGCCAGGGCATGGAGGGGCCACTTCATCCAGGAAGCACATGCAGGGGACTCCTGGCATGTTTGAGGGAGGGGGTTGGATTGGACCTGGGGACCTCCAGCATTGCTCCCAGGGTTGCAGTCCTGTGAACCAGGTACCTGCACACTGAGAAATCTGCTTCCCTCTGAACCTTGCTTTCCTTTATGAAGTAGATACCTGTTTACCCGTCCATCCCCCAAGCACTGAGGGTCTGCCCTGGGTGCTGAGGTACACTGATGAGCTAGACCACCTATTACTTCCTGGAGCCCAGAGGCCAGGGAGGCTCAGTCACACCAAGTGTGTGTGCACAATGGTGGCTGTGCCATGCCCCAGGACCATGGTGCTGTAAGGACAGGGAACTGGGGATTGGACTTTGGGAAACTGGGAAAGGCCGAGGTCTAAGGAACTAGCCAGGTGGAGGGGGGTGAGGATGGCTATTACCTGTGATTGTTTGAAGGGATGTGGCTTGGCAGGAGCATGGACAGGCCATGGAGGGCCATTGAGGTCCTGGTCCTAGCACCTCTGAGAGTCCTTGAAGGGGTCTGAGCCAGGGCTGAGCCCAGTTGACTGAGAAATTCACAGGAGTCACCCGGCATGGCGAGGCCACCTGTGGAAGGGTCACCTGGGCCCACTACCCTGGGCAGTGTGATCTCAGACAGGTGGCCCACCCTTTCTGAGCTGTTTCCAGCTGTAGAGTGCAGAGCAGGTGCTCCTCCTGCACCCCTCCCACCCGGGCTCACCCGGGCTGACCTATAGTGGAGCTCCCAAACCCGCTTGCTGGCCACTGCCCTGAGAACCAGCACAGGCCTGTGGGGATAATGGGGGAGGAGGTCCCATGAGCCATTCCTCAGGATGTCCCACCTGGGCCCCCATCCCCAGCACTCACGGCTCCCTCTCCACCATGAGTTTCTTCATGGGAAAAACAGGGTGGCCCTTCTAGGCCTGCTAGCAGAGTACACAGTGGCAGCCTGCTGAAACTCCCAGAAGGATTTATGGAGGCCTCAGCCCCTCAGCCAAGCCTGGAGAGCTAACAGTCTGCAGGGGTGAGTTCCCCATATGATGATATCCCCATGTGTGTGATGGAGGCGCAGTGGTGAGGCCTGGTGCCCAGAGTCCAGGGGAGGATGCATCGGGCCGCAAGAGGACCCCGGAGGCCAGGGTAGGTTCTTCCTGGCTGGGCAGTGGGAGCCAGGCTGGTTGGGGGATGGCTCTCAGAGCGGGTGGGAGGACTGGTGTGGAGGCCTGAAATTAAACCACGTGGAAGGAGGCTGTGGGAGCATGAGGAGGCAGGTGGACTTGGGGAGGAGTGCAAGGAGGGCCGGCCCAGGCTCTCACTGGATGCCACTTCTCTCAGGGGACTGAGGTTGGGGTCTTCCCAAGGTAGAGAAGTGACCATAGGTAGACTACGGACAGTGATCGTAGCTGCTGCTGGCAGTGGAACTCCTCTGCTCTGACAGGCTTTGTGGCCAGCACCTGCTTCAGGCCCTGCCCTGGAGGAGTGGGAGTCACATGACTATCCTGGTCTTGGATTTGACTTTAGCCTCATCCACCAACAGGCCATGGGAGAGGTGATTCTGAAAGTGCTTGTCCTTTGTGCGTATGTCAAGCCTTAGGCCCACATAAGGTTGTCCAGAGTAGCACAAAGAGAAAGGGGCCATGGGGAGGTGAGCCCTGCCCAAAACATGCACAGGCCATGTAGCATGCTGTAGTCAGTGGTGCCAACTCTAGGCTCATGCCCCCTGTGGGGCTCTGACAGCCAGCATTCCCTGTCCTCAGGCCAGGCATGCATTGTGGTTGCCTGTCCTATCCTACTTGCCAGTGTCACCTAATGCTGGCAGGGGTGTCATCCCTGGGGACAGGCTGGGACGAGGACAACAGAATATGATCAAGACCACACCAGATGGTGGGACATGCCCAGGCTGGAGTGTGGCTGGGCCATCCAGCAGAGCCCCCAACTTCTTCTGGGTTGGGGAATGACAATAGAGTGGGGTGACCCTGGCACTGCTGAAAGCTGGGTGCTGGCTAGACACGGGGGGGTCTGTGGTGGACAGAGCACAATGAACGAGTTGCCAACAGGGTAGGGAGCTCAAGAGTGGCTGAGAGGCTGGCCACCTGCCCTCTGCAGTCTCCTTCAGCCCCCACTGGCAGCCTTGTGGGGCTGGAGAGGGCAGGTCTCCCCCTCAGTCCCAACTGTAGACAGAGCCTGCGCTCCTCTGCAGGGGTGCCTTGGCATGCTTCTTGGTCCTGTCCTCTCCCTGCCCTCTCCCCACCTCAGCACCGCACTCAGGGGCATCCTTCCTGAAGGAGCAGCTTCCTCACTCACCTCTCAGCTCTGGCCCCTGCACCTCCAGGTCTCTCCCAGCCCCAGCCCTAGCCTCAGCCCGGGCCTGAGGGCATGGTCTAGACTGGGCATGCTGGGATGTGTTTTCCCAAGTGAATGAGGAATCATAGCATAATCTGAGTGGGAAACCAGCGGAGGGGAGCCCAGGACTAGTCAGTTGAGACAAAGACATTCACTTTAGCATCTGCGTTAATATAGTGATTTATTGCTTCTTTAGCCATTTTGGTTACAAAGTTCAAGGGGAAAGAGAAGAAAATGACGAAAACAGTGGCTCAGCTGGGACTGTCTTCCTTCTCTGGCTCAGGCCTTGACTCCTTCAGAGCTTGAGCCTGAAGCCCTGTGTTCTGTCTCACGTGCCACAGACACACTAGGCTGTAAAAGGCTCACTAGGTGCGCATCTCCGGAGGCTGCTGGTGGGGGGTGCCCTTCTCAGGCATCCACAGGCTCGGTTCCCTAGGAACTCTCCCCCTCCTTGTTGATGGCCACAGAGGGCACTCCTTGTGCCTTGGGCTGCACCCAGCATTGGCTGAGGATGCCATGGATGTGGAGCTGCTGGCTGACATCGGGCTGCAGCAGGCAGTAGATGAGGTCCTTGCACTCACAGGTCAGGTTTTTGGAGTGCAGGAAGTCCACATGGTGCTCCTTCTGGATACACAGCATGTACCTGATGTCAAAGTCATCATAGGGCATGACGCCACAGACCATGATGTGGAGGATCACGCCCAGGATCCAGATGTTGTACACCTTGGGCTGGTAGGGGATGCCCTGCAGCACCTCAGGGGTCACGTACTTTGCCGACCCGCAGAAGGTCTTGCTTCATGTCTGTTGGCCACTCTCGTCCCACAGCCAGTGCATGGAGAACCTGAAGTTGGACAGCTTGGTGTTCAAGTCCTTGTCAAGGAAAAGGTTCTCACACTTGAGGTTCTGGTTGGACAGCTTGATGTTCAAGTCCTTGTCGAGGACAAGGTTCTGTCAAGTTGGACAGCTTGATGTTCAAGACCTTGTCGAGGAAAAGGTTCTCACACTTGAGCTGCATGGTGTCCAGCCCATGGCAGTACTTGATGGCCGAGGAGAGCTGCTGGAGTATCTTGCGTGCCATGTCCTTGGGCAGAGCTCCCTGGCACTCAATGAACTCTAGGAGGTTGCCCTGGACTGCGAGCTCCATGACGATGTAGATCTTGCCATATGATGTCTCGAATACCTTGTAGGTCTTGAGTATGGAGCTGTGGTTTAGCATGGCCGGAATCTCCATTTCCCGGGGAAGGAATTTCTCCAAGATGTCTTTTGGGGCCTTTCTTGCAGTTGATGATCTTGACTACCACCTAGAAGTTCAGGTGCTCAGAGTAAACGAATTTAACTTTTGTGTACGAGCCCTCTCCCACAAGTATCCCCATGGTATAGCCTCGTTGCTTGAGGACAGCAGCGTTGTGCGTGGTGTCGGGAGCACCTAGTGCCTCTGAGGCTGCCCTCTACATCCCTGTGGGACCTGGGCCAGTGGTGTACTCACTTACACCTGGACAGAGAGTCCTTTGGGCTGGCCAGCCCTGCTGTCCCTGCCTCCTTGAGGCCAGGACTCTGGGTTGGGACATTCAGTGCTTTCTCCCAGGTGACTTCAGTGGGTGAAGTCACAAAGGTAGAGTGCCCTGGGGAAATGAGGCTCTGGCCTGAGGCCCTTGGACTTGGAACCCTGGAAGGCTGGCCAGTGGGCTGGAGGAGACAGGACAAGCAGAGAGTGGCCTTGCACCTGGCTGGGACCTGAGGTAGGAGGGGGCTGTAGGGGACATATGGGTCTGCCAGTGCTTCCAACCTCAGAGCCAGGACTGCCTGTGTGGAGTTGAGGCCAATTCTTGCAAACCAGGGCATCTGAGGAAGGGTTTAATTAGGGGATGATTTGGGAGGTTGAGGTGGGCGGATCACCTGAGGTCAGGAGTTTGAAACCAGCCTGGCCAAAATGGTAAAACCCCATCTCCACTAAAAGTACAAAAACTAGCCAGGCGTGGCGGTGGGCACTTGTAATCCCAGCTGCTCAGGAGGCTGAGGTAGGAGAACTGCTTGAACCCAGGAGGCAAAGAAATAAGCTGAGATCGCACCACTGCACTCTAGCCTGAGTGACAGAGTGAGACTCCATCTCAGAAAAAAAGCGGGGGGGCAATTAACAAAGGTGGGAGCAGAGTGCAGGGAACCCTGAAGGTAGCACAGGCACCCCAAGGTAGTAGCAAACCCCTGGCCTGCATGGAAAATGGTGGGAAGGTCCCTGGAACCCAGAAAGAGTAATATAGACAGGACCACCTTGAGAGAGGTAGTGCCCTTTGGTGGAGAGAGCTAACCTTATTGACCACACAGGGGTCGGGGGACGTCCCATCCCTGACCTGTTTTTCTTCCCTTCAGCCCTTGACGCTGCCCACACAGGCAGCCCTCAGGGTTGCAGAGCAGGCCCAAGAAGGGTGGTATGTCAAGAGAGTAGAGAGCCTCCTGGCACTGGAGTTTTAGAAGCCTGGGTCCTGCTCTCTCCTCGTACTTCCCTTGCCTCACCTGAAACTTTGGTGGCTTCTTACAGCAGCTCTGTGGGAGGACAGCAGCAAGAATCCTGCTCTTGGCTGTGAGTTCCCTCCTGGGGACCTGCCCAGCCTATGACCCTGGCTAGGCTCCAGGGCAGATCTGCAGCTGGGCACCAAAGATGGCACCTGGATGCCACCCTGAGTGCCAGTGGCTGTTCTGAGGACAGTACAAGCAGCAGGGGCAGCACTGGACAGTGGTCATTGTTTCTGCTCGCAGTGGAGCCCCTCTGCTGTGACAGGCTCTGTGTCTAGTACCTGTTCCGGGCCACGCTCTGGGGGAGTAGGAGTCACACGACTATCCTAGCCTTGGATTTGACTTTGGCCTCATTCACTTAGAGTGAGCACCCCTTCCTCACAGGAGCCAAGTGGAACCCTGGGCCCCTCAGGAGTGAGTTGGTAGGGTGGGCTGGATGTTGCTCAGGCTGGGTTGGGTCCCCACCTGCCATGGCCTTTCCCCCTTTTCTTTGCTCCTTCCCCTTCTTCCCCAATCCTGACCACCCCCTGCTAGGCCTTTGTGTGTTCTTGATGCTCCTTCTTCCAGACAGCATCCTCCTCCTTCCTGCTGGGGACACCCCAACTGCTGTCTCCTTGAAACCAAAAATAAAATTCTAAGCCCCCAGCCATCTGAATGGCCCCCTCTTCTCTGCCAAGGGCATTCCAAAATTAACCTGAAAAACTAGTTCAGGCCGTGATAGGAAGTGGGAGTCAGACCTCATTATCCCTCCTCCCTAGGGGTTCACGCATAGCTAAGCAGTGGTAACATCGACACAGAGACCTGAAGACTGACAACAGACTATGGTGGTAAGATACCAGCATGACAGCAGGCCTGGAAAGAAACAAATATTTTACTGTAAAACAGATTTCTTTCATATATTTTGAAGTGGCTCTGCAAAGCTGTTTCTTGTAGAGAAAATCTACATTTTGTAGAGAATCCCCTTCCCTTTCAAGGCTCCTGAGAGAATTAACTAAAGTATAGCACTTTTTATTTATTTTTCCTTTTTTTTAAATTTGAGACAGAGCCTTGCTCTGTTGCCCAGGCTAGAGTGCAGTGGCGTGATCTTGGCTCACTGCAACTTCCGCCTCCCGGGTTCAGGTGATTCTCCTGCCTCAGCCTCCTGAGTACCTGGGATTACAGGCATGCATCACCATTCCCAGCTAATTTTTTAATTTAAATCTGTTTTACAGTAAAATATTTGTTTCTTTCCAGGTCTCCTGTCATGCTGGTATCTTACTACCACAGTCTGTTTTCAGTCTTCAGGTCTCTGTGTCAATGTTACCATGGCTTAGCTATGACTGAAACCCTAAGCGAGGAGGGATAAGGAGGCCTCTCTGACTCCCACTTCCTATCACGGCCTGAGCTAGTTTTTCAGGTTAAATTTGGAATGCCCTTGGCAGAGAGGAGGGGTCCATTCAGATGGCTGGTGGGCTTAGAATTTTTAGTAGAGACCTGGTTTCACCATGTTGGCCAGGCTGATCTTGAACTCCTGACCTCCCAAAGTGCTGGGATTACAGGCATGAGTCACTGTACCCAGGAGTCTGGCACTTTTGTTTTTAAGTTCTGGGGTACATGTGCAGAACGTGCAGGTTTGTTCCATAGATATACACATGCTGTGGTGGTCTGCTGCATCTATCCCCCCTTCATCTACATTAGGTATTTCTCCTAATGCTATCCCTACCCTAACCCCCCACCCCGTGGACAGGCTGCAGTGTGTGATGTTCCCCTCCCTGTGTCCATGTGTTCTTTAACAGCCTGTTCTCTCTGAAACATGTTCTCTCTGATACCTGGAGGCTTCATCTGCCTAACAAGCTTGGTCTCCATAACCACCTTAATCCAGACAGTCCCTTCTGTTGATTCCAGGTTTTTAGATAAATTCTTTGAACCAACTGCCAATCAGAAAATCTTTGAATCCACATGACCTGCAAGCCCCCCTCCACCCCCCACTTTTAAGTTGTCCTGCCTTTTTCGACTGAATCAATGTATACCTTACATGTGCTAACTGATGTCTTGTGCCTCCTTGAAATGTATAAAACCAAGCTGTAGCCCTACCCCCTTGGGCACTTGTCTACTGGGGCTGTGTCCCAGGCTATTGGTTACATATTAGCTCAAAAGAAATGTCTTAAAATATTTTACAGAGTTGGACTCTTTTAGCTGACACTGTGCTCCAAGGTTCACCCTGTTGGTGATGACAGGTGAGAGGCGGCACTTGGAGCACTTGTCGCAGGGGGGCTGAGCCTCCTCTCTGCCCAACTTTCTTTTCTGCATATGCGGCCTTCCCCTCGCCATTATGTAGGCAGGTCCTCCAGGGAGCAGGCTTCCCTGCGGTCTCCAGGACTTGGCCTTCGCGGTTAGCTCTCTTTGCGTGACACTCCTTTAGGCCATTCCTGTTCCTTACGGGGTGACCCTCTTCTCCACCCTCAGAACCGGTAGGTCCTCCCTCCTCCACAGCGGTTCGGCCTTTAAAAGACCCTTTAGGGTGCACCTTTGGGCTGCTCACACCTGGGCTTGCAGGGTGAAGACCCTTGGAGTCCTACCTAACCAGGTTCCCGCTTCGTCCTCTCCACTCCCCACCCATGCGACCCCACCCCCATGCCCTGTACTTTTCACTGTCCGTCCTTGTGGTCCTGAGCCCGCCGTCCTGGCCCAGCGTCCAGGGAGGGACCCTACTCCCTTCGAAGGCCCAGCCGCTCCAGCCCCTGCCCCGGCCCCGGCGCCGGCCCCGGCCCCTGCCCCGGCCCTGTCTCTCCGCTTAGCCAACGGCACGCCTCACTCCGTATAGCCCCGCCCTCCCCTCCGTGCCCGCCCCTCGGTCCCCGCCCTCCGCCGTCGCGACCGTCGGCCTCGCCCCCTTCGGGCTCTGTGGCTCCGGCTCCGCCCCCCGCCTTGACGCTCATTGGTCCTTGCCGGCGTCGCGGGCGGGAGGCGGAGCGGCGCGGCGCAGAGCCCAGCAGGACAGCCGCCATCTTGCGTGGAGAAGGTGTCGGAGCCTGAGGCTGCAGCCGAGAGTGCCCGCTAGCCCGCGGTCCAGCCGAACCTCCTTCCCGCCGCCTCTCCGCGCCTCCCCCCGGTCCAGCCCCGCCTGACCCTCCGCCTAGCACGGTCCCCCGACCTTCAGTCCGGCCCGGTCCGGCCTCCCAGCGGGGTCAAGCAGCCGCCCTGGGGACGATGAACGGAGGATAAATGGTGCCCAAGGCAGACAGCGGCGCCTTCCTGCTGCTCTTCCTGCTCGTGCTCACTGTCACCGAGCCGCTGCGGCCAGGTGCGCCGCGCGATGGGGGCGGTGTGGGGGCGGGGCGGCGAAAGGGTCCGGGGTCGCTCCGGGACCTCCTTTCACCCGCGGCGCCCTCCTATAGGGGCCGCGCCTGGGACAGGGGCGGGCGGGGCCTGGCTCACGGGCCGCCTGGCACCCGCTTCGGGCGTCTGCTGGAGCTTACCTGGGCTCGCGGCGCCTCGGACTTCGTGCAGCGCTGCTGTCCAGGATGTTGCCTCCGGGCCCTTCCCGGGAGCTGCGGCGGCCGCCAGGAGCTGCGCCTGGGGTGCGCCCTCCCGCCAGCCCAGCGTCTGAGTCGGGCTGGGGACAGCGGCTCTCGGGGGCACCTGGTTTCACAGACGTCCTCCCAGCAGTGGCCTAGTGCCAGCCTCTCAGTCCTGGAAACTCCTCGGCTGGACAGCGGTGGCTGTGGCTGACTGTCATTCAGTGAGGCGTTGCACTGAAGTCCTCGGCTCACACCCGGTCCAGAGGAGGCACCAGGAGTCCGCCTAGCGTCGTATGGCCTGCGCGAGCGTCCTGGGAGCAGAGACACCGTCACTGTGCCCGGCCCTTGTCACTGTGCCCGGCCCTTAGGGTGCTGCGCGTATGTGATGAATGAGTCCATGCTTTGGAACTCCCCTCGGAGCTAGTGTGTTGTTAAGTCTGTGGTGAGGAATCAGAACCGTGGCAACCAGGAGACCCTTTTCTACCTGCGTCAGTGTACCTTTCCTTCCCTTGAACTGCACCAAAAAATCAAACTCCTTAATGCAGGGCCAATGTATCCATCAGGCAGAGGAATCCTGGTATCAGTGGCCCAGGGTACTTTTAGTGGCCTGCAAATATTACTTTATTTGTTTTTTAAATCAGAAAAAAAATGAACTTTTAGGTCAAAGAAAATGTATCCATGTGTATATTTATATTAATACAGTCATCTTCATACTAATACAGTGAAAAAGCATGATCCTCAGTATTTCTTAATGGAGGAAAGGTCCCATGGAGGCAGAAGTGCCGAGGCCATCTTCTGTGAGCATTATCAAGCCTGGGTGTGGGAGCCCGGGGTGTGTGGCCCTGTCCTGTGCCCTAGCCAGGTTCCCAGCCCAGATACACCACACCTCTTGGCTCTGCACTTGTGTCATCTGTATGGAATGTCTGCCTCCTCCCTAGTGTCTACCTGGTGGCCAAGGCCCTGACCCACTCAACCTGGACAGATTCAGTGATGCTTCTCTGGGCTTCCCAAGTAGACCTGGTTGTTCACTGCTTTTGGCTGCTCTCTTGACAGCGGGACGACTGGTTGTGGGGTGGGCTTGGTAAGAACAGAAGTCAGGAAAAGGGGTGCCTGTGGAGGAGGGTATCATATAGACTCTTGGAGGTCAGAGCCAATGGGTTTGTGGGTTCTTGTGATTAACTTCTTTAGAAAACTTGTATGTACCTGTAGAGAGGTAGAAGGTCATCGTTTTCTGATTCCTGAGTCCCAGTTGTGCAGATGAGGTCACTGGGCCAGAGGTGAGGCCCTATTATGCCTGGCTTCTTTGGGGTGACTCTGGTTCCAGGCCCAGCATCTCCTGCGTGGGTGGTGGAGGTGACTGACGTCCCCAACTCCTTTTTCCTTGCCAGTCTGTTCACATATTCTGCCAATTGGCCAGCAGCAACTGAGAAAGTATCTGTGAGTGCTTGCTGCCTGCCCGTCACTAGGGAATCCAAGTGAAGAGAACAAGCACCTCTCTTTAGGAGTGCCTGATGTGGAAACAGAGGCCACGTGTAAGTCACTTGTCACGCTCCTGTGTGTTGAATACCCCTGAGTTTGGGGACCCAGAGGTGGGTGGAGGTGGTCATCTGTTTGTACCCGTGAAGCAGGGAGGGCGTCCCAGGAGACCTCACACTGAGGTTTGAGTAGGGCATGGGTGGGTGGCTCTGGTAGAGGGAGCAAAATTATTCTTTCGATTCCATGACTCTCCAGATGAGAACATTGCAGATAACCCCTGGAGGCACGTTGAGTTGCCCTGCAGAACCCGGGGAACTGCAGCTGGCTCCCTAGCTTTGGCAGGGGAGTGAGGGCAGGTCTCTGGGCTGGATGTGTTCCTTCTGTGCCCACATGTGCCTCTTCATGCATTCACCCTGTGTCCTTCCTGAGAGTGCCTCAGGGATCTGCCTGGCTGGTGATTGTGAGAGGCTGGGGCTACTCTGGTCTTAGTCTGCATTCTTTCTGTGGGAATCCCGGCCTTAAAAGCATACTTGGGTTTGAGGAAGGCACCAGTCAGAGCTCACTTATCAGGAGGTTGTCTTCTGACTCTTGCCTGGTGGGGTCCCTGAAGATGAAGCCAAGCCACTTGGGTCTCCTATCTGGTTCAGGGCAGGGTGGAAGGCCTTTCATGTAGTTGCAGGGCAGTGAGTGCTTCCTGTATGTGACCTTTCATCTGTGTTGTTTTTTTTGTTTGTTTTTGTTTTGAGATGGAGTCTTGCTCTATTGCCCAGGCTGGAGTGCAGTGGCATGTTCTCAGCCCACTGCATCCTCCACCTCCTTGGTTCAAGCAATTCTGCCTCAGCCTCCTGAGTATCTGGGATTACAGGCACAAGCAACCACGCACAACCAATTTTTCTAGTTTTAGTAGAGACAGGGTTTCACTATGTTGGCCAGGATGGTCTCAAACTCCTGACCTCAGGTGGTCCACCCATCTTGGCCTCCCAAAGTGCTAGAATTACAGGCCTGAAGCACCATGCCCGGCCCAATTTTTTGTTTTCTTTCTTTTTTCCATCATGTGAGGATACCAATTTTTTTTTTTAAGGCACATTTGAACTTGATTGATTGAAGGTGTGTTATGTGCCAGGCACTGTTCTAAGTGCTAACATGTATTAACTCTCAGGAGGTCCCTGCTAGATGCTATTTTAGCCTCATTTAAAGATGCAGAAGCTAAAATCCAGAGCGCTCATAAAGCTAAGTGGCTGAGATGAGATTTCATTATGAGAGTCTGGGCTTCCCTCAGTCATGCACCATGGCTAGGGCCCTGTGCACTCCAACTGTGTGTCTCCAGCCCAGCCATAGGAGTACCTCACATTATGCTCTGAACAGTTTCCTTAACCCTAGGTGGAGTGACAGACTGCCTCTGTGTCCTGATGTGTCCCGGGCTCCTCTAGGTGAGGGTACAGAATCTTTTTCCCTGTGGATACTCCAGTCTGAGAAACAGAACCACCTACCCCACAAATCCCTTCTGTGGTTGGCCATATGACCACTGATGTGTGTTATAATCACTGGATATGTGATGAGGAAGAAGGGTTGGAGACTACTGCTGAGGTAACAGCAAGATGGTGGGGGATTTGGGGACCACTGATTGTGATATTGTCTCATTGAACCTTTCTCCATCTGTGTAGAGAAGACAGCATCGATTACTGATTCTAAAACTGTTTTTCTTTCTATCTTTAATTGTGAAACAAAATCATAACATGAGCCGCAGCACTATCCATGTTGAACCCACAATATGTAGCTGAGAAAAAATTGCCTTCTGAGTGCTGGTTCTCCCTGGTCCTTTCCTGGTGGTTGTTGGTCCTGTACAGGGCTTGTGCTCAGCCAGACCCCTTGGTGAGGTATAGGACAACAAGGTCTATACCTCTTGCTTCTATTGCTGATACAGCTATCTGAGACAGGCAAGTCTAAGGTCACACAGCTGGTGTGCACCAGAATGTGGGTTCAGACCCAGGTGGACCTGGCTGCTTAGGGTTCTTTTTCTTTTGCCTTCAGAAACGAGGCAGCTGTGCTGAGCTAATAAAATCTCAGGGAGCTGAGAAGTAAACATAGAACTTTGCCTCTGGAGTCCAGAGTTTTTGTTTGTTTGTTTTTTGAGACAGTTTCTCTCTGTCACTCAGGCTGGAGTGCAGTGATGGGATCTCAGCTCACTGTAATCTCCGCCTCCTGGGTTCAGGTAATTCTGTGTCAGCCTCCAGAGTAACTTTGATTACAGGTGCACACCACCACACCCAGCTAATTTTGTATTTTTAGTAGAGATGGGGTTTCACCATGTTGGCCACGTAGGCTGGTCTTGAATTCCCGGGCTCAAGTGATCCACCTGCTTCGACCTCCCAAAGTTACAGGATTGCAGGTGTGAACCACCACACCCGGGCTAGAGTCCAGAGTTTTCTTTCATGTGAAGTAGCACAGGGGTTTGGTGAATAGGGAGAGAGTGCATATTTTCATCACAAGACAAAGTGACTGAAGCTCAGAAGGAGCTGGAGAGATGAGCTTGCACCTGGCCTTGGCAAAACCTCCTGAGTTGGGAGTTCTTTCCTCTGTAACCTGGTACTGTGACACTTTGTAGAGTTTGTCCACTGGTAGATTTGGCTTTTGGGTTAACAGGTCCATCTTTTTTTTAGTTGGAAAGTGGTGTAATATACTTCTTACCTTCACTAACTAATGAATTTAACTTTTTTTTTTTTTTTGACAAAAAGAAACCTTTTATTTGGAAATAATTTCAAACTCAGAAAAGTTGTAAGAATAAAATGAGTGCAAAGGGCACCTGCATATCCTTTGCTGAGGCTTCCCTACTGTTGGTATTTTATCTTACTTATCTTATCCCCCCATCCTCTATGTGTATGTGCATATCTGTGTACTCACACACGGTGCTTTCCTCTGAACCATTTGAGAGTAAGTTGCATGCGCCATGGCCCTTTATCCTTGTAAATATTAGCCATTTCGGAGAGCAGAGGCTGCTTCCTCTTAGCCCCACCCCATTGTTCTCATTAATACCTGCTGTGTGCCAAGCCCTGTGTCACATGGGAACGTCTCGAGGTGCAGGAAGCCCTATTGTGAAAGCCCAGGTTGGCCCAGGTGGAGGCAAGCTGGCATCACTGCATGACAGGGTTATTATTTCAGTTGGTGGTTCCTGTCTGAGGAATGAAGACTGCTGCCATGGAACGTTTGTGCTGTGTTAGGCTGCGCTTTTCCTGGTCTGCTTCCCAACCTAGTTTGTGGGCACTTTTCCCACCCTTTCCTTCCCAGGCACTCCCCAGAGTACTGAGTG